CCGCATGTGTTTCTCTAACCAAGGGCCACTACAACCATTGTCAAATACATACAGCCCCGATTGGAGAAACTTTCATCATGACTCTTTGAACAATATACAAGCTCCAAATCAAGCATTTACACCTCCACCACAGCAAGAATTGTTTGGCATTACATTGGAGGACACTTTGAAACTACTCACTCAAAACTATTTGCAATTTCAACAGTCAACGAGTAGTATTATTCAGAACTACTCTTTAGTACTAACTAAGCTGGAAATTCAAGTAGGTCAGATTGTCCAAGCATTAAATGAACATCAATCCGGTGGTGATGATCAACAAGAGAAGGAGGAACAACCAAAGAAAGCTTGTTGTGCATATTTTCATGAGGTTCTTGAGCTTTATGAAGATGAAAAGCCTTACACTCCTCCCAAGCCATATGTTCCACCAATTCCTTTTCTAGAGATATTTGTCAAACAAAAGCATGATGAGCCACCCATAGATGTGTTTGAAGAAATTGTGCCAGACATAGTGTTTGAAGCTCTTCCTCTATCTTCTAATTCAATTGATTGTTTTTCAAAATCTGTGTCAGATTCTCCATGTTGATTTACATCTTTATAGGTGCCATCTTTGGAGTATTTTGGAGATGATTTGCTGCCATATCAAGAGAAAAACAAATTGAAGTTGGATGATGATTCATTGCTGCCCATTCACCATAAGAAAGAAGATTCGGAGCTAGATGATTAGATTGTTGCCTTGAACGAATTTCATTCATCCATTGAAATAATTGCTCCAGCCACATCTTCAACAATTTTTGAGGATAAGCTTATTTGCAAGGAGAGACAAAAACACCATCACAATCAAGTCTTTTTGGAAATTCAACGCACCATATTCAAAGTCCCTCAAAAGAAACCACTTCTTTCGACTAAGGTTCAGAGGTACCTTGACTCCCTGCCACCCTAGGCGTTCATCTATCAAGGTACCATGTCTCGCCTAGACATTAAATAAAGCGCTTGCTAAGAGGCAACCTAGCTGGGTTTGTGTTCTTTTCTTTTATTTTCTGTCTTTTAGTTTTTGTTTTATTTCATTCCATGCTTACTCTGCCTTCCTGTATTGCTGCATTTCATTCATTTTTTTTTACATATCAAGGACAATGCTTAGTTAGGTTTGGGGGTGTTGGATTGAAATTTTCTGTTTGCTTGTAGTTTTGGCTAAAGTTTGCTTTTGCATACTAATGTAAATGTACATGATGGCTGTGTATACAATCTGACTATGGTGCTGTCATGAAAAGTTCCATATCATAATTTTTGTAGTTCACGAATTTATTACTCTTGAATTATGGTGATTAAAGTATCATGCTCAAATTCTATAAGAAGAATAGTGGAGACTACCTTAGTGAGTTATTTTGAGCTTATTTGCATTTTTGAGACGCTTTAAAGTGTTTCTGCTTTTATTTTTTCTTTCAATTTCACTTTAAATGATCTCATTATTTCTCTTTGATTGAATGCTAAGAATAATCCTATGTTGCTGATACCATGTACTTGTTATCACCTATGAATGAACTCATTGAGATGATGTTAGGCTATGCATGTTTTAACCACCAAATGGCTTTATTCCTATCCCTTTGTGTGCTCCATTCACCCTTGTTGCAGCCAAATACTTTTAGCCTAGTTCTTTCATCACCTACACCAAAGTCTACCCATCTTAGCCTATTATAGTCATACCTTATAGTTTGGGGAATACCAAAGTGATGAAGACAAAGATAGATTGAGCTCTAGATCAAGAATGTGGCGTGTATCAAGGTAACATATGTCGGAATTGCAAAACAAGAAGCAAAAAAAAAAAAAAAAAGGCTTTGAAAAAATAAAGAAAAGAAAAGAAAAAGAATGAATAAAGAAGATGCAATTTCCAAATCCTTTACTATCGCATGTGGGTCACGGGCACCAAGAACAAATAACAAAGATCAATTCAAGAGGAGAGCTTGTTGGTTTCACAACAAATACACTTTGGTATGTTCCAAGCTTTAGTATTTCCTATCCATTCTTTCGTAGCCCCTAGCCTAAGCCTTACATTACAACCTTGTGAAAGACCTAGTTGATCTTTGGGGATATATTCATGGGTGCTGGTAAGTATGTGTGCTATCCATATTCTTAGTATTTGATTCCTTTCATGAGATTTGTTCAGAAAATTATGCTGTTATTTCATATTTCATATGTGAGAATTTTGATTCCCTTTACGTAACTTTAGTCACATATATTTGATGAGAGACTAAACCTTAGGATCTAAGTGAAAATTTGAGTGACAATCTGAGAGAATTAGAGTGAAAGCGAATTCTATCTTTGGCATTTGAGTATTGTGCTTTTGAAATCATGAGTCATGGAGCAATACTTTTACACTACACACATGATATGATTCTTTGAAGTGGCAGTGTTTTGTTTAGTGGTATGACTAAGCATTCAGTGGTTCTTATTAGTTTGTTTCAAGTGAGTTTTAACCAATTTATTTGTCGAGTCTGTAGATATTTGTGAGCGTTATCGCTGTAAACCCTCAAGAGACACAACTCCTCCTACTAGGGACACTTAGAGGTTTAAAGGTTTGTCGCACATGCTCAATGCAATCGTTTAGTCAGTAAAAGTGGTCAAGTTAGATTTTTCTTTGTTTTGTTTGTTTTCAGTTTTAGTTTTGCTCGAGGAACAGCAAAAATCAGGTTTGAGGGTATTTGATAATTCATATATTTCATACATTTATAACATCCATTCCTAGTCCCTTTGTGATACTTTTGAGTTAAACTAGTTGCCTTTCACCCTCTTTTGTGTTAGTGTGCAGCTAATCGTATTTTGGAGCTCAGTTAAGGATAGATAAGGTAAAATGGTGCTAAAAGTGGAGAATTGAATAAGGATGCTAATGTAGACAAAGAATTAAAAGTGGAAACTGAATATGGTGATGAATATGACTCTTTATAAGACCAATAACAACAAAAAACGTGGGAATTAAATGCCCAATTACTGGGATGTATTGGCAATCTGTAACAGCCTCTTTAACCTTATAAAACTGAGAGTTTCAGCCACTTTTACATAAGCTTCCCATTGGCGACACCCATAACTCTCTCTCTTCACTTTCTTTGGCCTTACAAAAACAAAATCCTTTCTCCATTCACCTTCCCAGCCACCAAAGAAACCACGCAGCCACCTTGTTCATGGAGAAGTTCAACATCAGAATTGCTTCAAGGGGTTTCCTTCTATGAACTTTAATTTCACTCAGTTGTTCTTGATTTTTATATATTTTGTAATCATGTTGTGTAATGAAGTTCATAGTTAGGGAATTCGATGTAGCCTTGCAAACCTACTCTATGTTATTAAGTTAAAGTACTCAAATTACCAATATGTGTTCTTGTTTCATTCACTGATTTTATAGTATAATTTGTTTGTTAATCTTAGTGTTTGATCACCATTAGGGCTGCTTGCAGACTATTTGATCAAGGTTATAGTACACATCATGTTTAATCTTGGTAGACATGTGAATGAATGAAGAAACTGCTATGCATACATCATGCCATGTGATTCTTTGGTTCTTTGAAGTTTTCTTGTTCTTAATGGATTCTTATTTGGTAATCTAAGTTGAACATCACAACTAGGTTGCAGATTAGGAGTACTTGATCACAACTAGACATCAAATGGATGATCATAAACGAGTAAAACGAACCCTAGTTGCAGATTAGAGAGGTGAATGTGTTTTGACTTAATTTTCATGGAATTGGCTTGTAATGGTGAAATTAGTATCCTTAGTTTGTTTCCCATCATTTTTGAATTATTCTATTATTCATATTTACATTCTCTTGCATTTTAAGTTACTTTACTTTTCAAATCAAAATCCAAACTCAATTTGGTAGTTTCATTGTTTAGTTAGGGTTCACATAAAGCTAGAAATTTGTAGAGGTCTAATCAGTCCCTGTGGTTCGACACCCTTACTTGTGCCATTCTACTATCCTTGTATTTGCACTTGAAAGGAACACAACACAGCACTCAACATGGTTGGCTATTTTTCCACTCAATTTTCGCAACTGGCTCCACCATTGTTGTACCAGTATAGTTTCTATATGTGGGTATATACATTATGTATCCAATGAGTCTTTATAATTTAGGGAATCACTTTCCGATCCATTGAAAATTCATTTTGTCCTTATATTTGTTTTATTTCAATTTATACTGTGGTTATCCCTATTTATAAACTTCGCTGGAGATGCTCTAAGAAATTGCCAAGTCTCGTTAATTCTTTGAGCGACAGATTTTGATCTACCAAATTTTCCTGACGGCTCTTTGTCGGCTAATGTTTGGGGCGACTAACACAACTTTTGTTGATAATGAATCCCACATTGATGAGAGTAAGAACCTTGCATGTGCTGATAAGAGGTTGAGCTACTCCCTACATTACTAATTTGTTTTATAGTGGAACCTCAACTTTCTTCATGGTATTAGAGCAGGTTGTCCCACTTATGAAGTCCAACGGCCACATATGCTCCATGTCACTTAAGTTGTGTTGTCCACGTGTTAGGCTTGAAAATTCACCACACGTGAGATACTGTATTGAGAATGTATCTCACATTAATAAGAGAAGGGACTTTGCATATGTTTATAAGAAATTAAATTATTCTATATTAGCAATTAATTTTACGATATAACCTTCACTTTCTTCAACTTTGTTTCCTAAAAAGTCTTTGGAATGTACAATATGGGAGCCACAGATCGCTGAAGGGGTTTGAAATATTATATACATGACCCAAATGTCTCAAGTTCCAACTAATAAAAAAACAATATAAACACTACAATGTTCAACGAATATAAATAAATAATAACAGTCAAGTCTATTCATAAGTTTCCAATTGTGTACTTCAAAATCGATGAGCTGCATGCACCTGACCCGACAATAAAATTATAAACTTTTTTTTTTTTAAAGAAAAAGAAGAAAAGAAGAAGAAGAAATGAATGTCATGAAGATAAAGATGGATAAAAGGCGGATCCTCTGCTGAGTTTAGGAAGCTGAATCTCATTAGCAAATCTAATGGACTGTTGAAATTTGATCAAACGGCTACAAAGATGGGGTCCTTCTAAAAGTTATAATAAAGCAAACCCAACGGACTGTTGAAATTTGATCAAACGGCTACAAACAAGAGGTCTCTCTAAAAGTTATAATAATTGTAACCATTAAATTAAATTTCAACGGTCAGATGGATTTCCTTAGGAGGCTCAACCTCCTAAGCTCAGAAGAGGATCCTGATCCGGAAAAAAAGGCAACAAATGGTCAGGAATACATGAAGAATTCTTCCAAACTCTAGAGTGCAACTTAAGAATCTCCCTAGCCTTCTCCTTTGTTTTAAACCTACAATCCACTTGAAGCACCAAACACAATTTGGCCACAGCACCCACTCGCAACATTTCCTGAAGAACAGCACAAGTTGCGGAAAATCTACAAATGGAGGACAATATTCTCACCGCTCGATCACTTGCCACATGTGAAACCCTAAGGATTTTCTTCGATACAATAGCTAGCCCCGCCCCATGCTTCAAAAGCTCAGCTCGCCCTTCCGCACATCTACAAAGCTGTTCTAAAATGATCAGTATTAGCTCACACGCTCTTTTCTCTTGCGTCCCCAGAAGAGCCTCCGTGAGCACCGAAACTGCACTGCCTTCGACAGCTTTGATTCGGTTCCTTCCCCACGGACAAAGCTCCACAAGAAGCTTCAATGCCGCCTTTGACGCTGGTTGTGAAATCCGACCATTTAGCACATGCACTATCTGGCGGAATGACTCAACGTCCACATTTATCAACTGGATCGGATCTGCCACTTCGAAAAATGACTTCAATAAAATTATTGCATGAGCTCGAGATTGGGAATTCCCGCAATCCAATACTCTGACCAGAGACTCCGTGATGTTATTATTGTTGCTGTCATTGCTCATGAGATCTTTGAGACGAGATTCCGAGCTTTTGAAATGAAAAAGGACTTCAATAGCGGCTTCGACTGTAGATGAATCGGAGTGACTTTTGTTGATGATGGAGGCCACGTATTCGATTGCTCCTGCTGCCTCCAAATAGTTCTTGTTCCTCTCGCCTTGAATGGCGATGGATCTGAGCCTTTGGAGGCAATGGAGATTGGTGTAAGGGACTTTCTTGGCTTGTTCGATGAGCTTCACCACCTGGGATTTGTCGAGCGCGGATTTAGGAGTTGGTATACGCTCGACGCCATGCGAAGAGTTGAGAGTGCACCAAGCTTGGATTATGCGGCGGAGAGTGTGGTTGGGCGTGAGATCTGCGTCAACGTCGGACAATGACTTTTTGCTTACGGGGCAAGTGTTGTTCTTCGATGTGAACCACCACTGCTCTATGCTTTCTCGATCGTACGTTATACCGGTTGAGATCGTGACCGGATCTCTCATGATTTCTAATGAAATTGGGCAAAGAAAATGCGGAGGAATAACGATTTCCTCCATGAATCTTTGAAACCTTGTATAAATGAAAAAAAAAGTAGAGAAGTAGACAAGAGGATTAGAGAAATGCCAACAAAAATGGTTAAGAAAGGACAAGAGAAAAGCTCAAAATTGAACACACTTGAACGAATAATAATGCAAATCTGACCCTATAAAACGTCAAACAGTTGAAGTTTTGGTTATTTGAAGTATGGCATTGAGAAGATAACGGTTATATATGATGAGAAGATAGATAGATCACAGGTGATGCAAGTTGTCATTAAAGGATAGTCAACACACACGGAAATTGAAAACTCAATTATACGCCTATCTCCATAGTTTATATACATTAAAGTACCATTCAATTTACACGCCTTCCAAAGTTTTGGAAGAAGAAAACTCAACGGGAGGCTTTGAAATCACGACTTGGTGGTTTAACGGTAAATGACGGATTATGAGACTTTCTTAAAACTAAAAACTAAATGTCTTAGGTTTGAAACCCGCTGCTGGTGTGAAAGCCAGATTTGTGGATAGGAGGAGGCTAAAATGCTTCTGTGAGTCTTTTCAACTCCCGAAAAGAATTAATAACCGTGGTTTGTTACCAGTTGTCTACCTTTAAAAAAATAAAATAACCGTGGTTGGACAATTTTGCACTCTCACAATTATGCACTGGAGTTCGAACGCGGGCCAAAAATACATTGTCGACTAATGTGATACAGGACTATTGGAGCTGAATGAGGAAGGGGATTGGTCTTCCATGCATTAATGTGTGGTGCAATACCTTATCTATATTTCAAAAAAAAAAAAAAAATTCAAATCAAAAGTAACTATTAAAGAATAATGCTGGCATTGATCTTTTGGGGGATGAGTTCATTCCCTCACTTACAAATAATTTATCTTCTCTGTAAAAAATTTATAATCAAAATACTATTCTATAGCTCGATCTTCATTTGAAGCTCATCCATACAAATAATATTCGAATGGGAGATCGTTTAATCATCCAACTGTATCAAGTAAATCAACGTTTCATCATGAATATGCTATTTGATACCTACACCATTAATTTATTTGATACATTTAGATTACTAAACGATCTCTGATTCGAATAATTTTTTGTATAGATATTATTCAAATGAAATTAACATATTGAAGGATTTTGATTATGAAAATTTTACGGTGAAGATACTTTGTTTACAAGTGGGAGAATGAGTTCATTCCTCTCTTTTTAAATACTTTGCTTTTTGTAATTTTAGTAAGTTATTCTGCATGTAAAACTATGAATTTACAAGAAGGGAAAATAAGCAATGTGTCCGAAAGTAAATCTCAACAAAACATGGAAGCAAATATATGTGCATATACATTGAGAGCTGTAATCTTATGAATAATTAAGGTTTTCTTGGTTCGACTATGTAGTGGGACGAATGGGTAAAACTCAATGTTTGTTGGAAGCGATATATAAGAGTGAATTTAATTTTCAGATGATGGAAATATGATTAGAGCACGGGGTCATTTTTAATTTTCTCGCGGTGCCGTTATGGTAATTCTTTGATTTGTAAGGTTTTGTTGTAATGAGCTGTTCCTAAATTTTAAGGTTTTAATCATTTTAATTTGTGAATTTATGAAAATGCCCTTCGAAATAAATACGTTGACTTTTGTTGACTGCCATGTCATGTCATGTAAGATTCATTTTCTTGGCGTATTCTCGTAGTACTTGTCGCTATGAGCACTTGAGCGCAAACGGAACGTAATTTGGAGTTACAACGAATGAGTTATTAGCAAACAAAGTCAGGGAAAAAATTGTAAATTGATTAATTTCTAGAAGGCTCCAGATTTTTGGAGCAAATATGGAAAGCAACGTGTGTGGCCCAAATTGAATAAAAGAAGAAACGAACGGCTGGGAGAAGAGATAAAGGAGAGAAAGGAGGGGCGGGACGCCCATTTAGAAGAGGAGAGAGAAGAGAGCGACCAATGGGAGAGGACCCTACCATTGACCTTTGATCGACGGTTGACTTTTGGTCAGTGGGTTTCAAATCATTCTAGAACATCCTTGGGGATGTGTTGTACATAATTTACGTGTTATATCGATAAGAATTCTAAGTTCTGAATTGATATTTGTTGTAGCCGACGATCGTTCGTGATGCCTTGATATTCATGCTAAGGAGTTGTAGCGCGAACCTCTGGTGAGTGGATCTTTTTCCTTTTTATAGTGTATATACATATATATATATATATATATATATATATATATATAAACTTTATGGTTTCTAGAAACATTTTTTTTTATATGGAACTATGCTTTGCTTGCCATGTCGTAAATAAGTTACATTTTAAATATTGCATTGTTACATTTGTGAATTGTATTATGTGACGCTGCGGAGACTCAGGTAAGCTTCAGGTGAGTATTATGTGATCGAATGGGTTGTATTGCATTGGTATGCACACATGTATTTAGAGCTCATCATGACTACACCCCGGTATTAGTGCTCCAGCCCAGGGCTAGGGCCAGCCTTCAAGTGATTGTTCACCTCCTGCACCGCACTCTTACCTTGGATCTAAGTCTGGTGTCAGCCTATCGTACATACCACAATAGGTGGTTCTGACTCGTAGGTGACCCACGATTTATCACATAGCTTTCATGTAATCGTAGCATTTGAGCATACATATTTATACCTAGCCTGTCGTACATGTCACACTAGGTGACTTTGACTTGTGTGCTAACCTAGATTGATGAGCTACATGTCTAGTTGTATAGGTCACGTTAGGTGACTTTGACTGGCATACTATTTTATATTGGTTTCACACCTGGCTTACATTTATTATTGCTAAGATATTATGACAAGGCATACTTCAATTTTCACTTCTTTTGGGCATGGGTTTTCATACCTACGTAGTAGTATTATTTTCTGGAAATTATACGGATTTTATGGCGAGGGGTTATAATGCTTTCAAAAGGTATTTATTAAAGCTTTATTTTTAGACCCACTCACCCTTGTTTTTCACCCCTTCAGATGTTAGTAGCATAGTTTTCGTACCAACGAGGATTATTGGTAAATCTTGGTGTAGGCGATTATCATCGATGGTATAATTCTCACCCTATGTTACTGTATTGTACTTATGCTCTGTCATCACGTGTGAATTGGGTTCATTCCTGCTCACAATGCACTCTTGTATTTAGGCACTTTTAGGTTTAAATCTATTCACACCTTCTACATCACTACACTTTATGGTTTCGTCACCTTCCTGGTGTCGGCTAGCACAGCTCGATTCGGAGCCCTAGTTGACATTTCGGCTCGGGGTGTGTCTTTAGTTCTCGTGAATATTATCTTTCATATGTTAAATTCGGATTTTTAATGAGTGAAAAATTGTATTGTATTTATAACGAGCTTATAATATCAAATTTATGATGTTTCTTTCTGCAAGGGTAACATGTTTTTACATTTAGGCGATGTGGTTTTTAAAAAAAAAAAAAAAAACTTTGTTTTAATGAAATACAGAAAGTGTTGTTCAGTATTGTGTGCAAATTTTTTTCCTCAATGACCAATTTCGGTAATGGAAGAAAATATGAGTTAGTCTCGATCGAAGGGATCGTCGGTGTTCTAAGTGCGCCTGATCTGGTTTGGATAGAGCGGGTTGACTTTCTCCCCCTAAAGTAGTGTTAGTTTCTCTCTCTAGATCGTGGGTCTTGCCGACATCTTCTCAGCTGCTCATGGGAGCAAGTGGATCTATCTTCTATCAGCAGACTCTCACGCATTTCTTAAATGCTTACATTAAGAAATGCTTACATTGTAAGTGCATCTTCCAAACAAGAAAAATGGCAAGTGCATTGGGTCTATTGAAACTACCAACGGTAAACTATGAAAGTCTCCAGTTTCATTTATTGACGTTGAGGTTTCATTATAAAAAAAATGATTCATATTCTTAGCATTTTTAACATAATTGACCAAAAAATGAATTTTTTTATTTATTCATTGATTAAGATATTTTTATAAGTAATATTCTACATTAATAGAATATACTTATTATGTAAGCGCAGATAAAATCACTTAGAGTATCTTCAAAGGAGATGTAAAAAATGTTCACATAAGCTATAATGGTAAACAAAAAAAAAAAAAAAAAAGACCATACTAATGTTCTCCAATTGAAATGTCAATCTCATATGGTGATGACATAGATTGGCAGCAAGAAAGTTGTTGTCAAATTTGACTGCAGCTTCAAAATTAATTATTAATGTTTTTTGTTAATTTTTTAGTGGTTTAATCATTATTATAATGAAGGGAACTTTAATGAAAAGTGACACACCCCAACCAAGATCAGGGCATGCTGGCCGTCACGTGGAAGTGACGTAGCCATGTGCACCGTGCGGGAGCTAAAAACAGTAATATAAAAGTACGAATAATTTAAAACTAGCAATTATAATGTGATAAAGTATGTGCTAGCAAAAGTAAGACGCTGAATTCAGAGCTTTAAGCCTACAGCAGTCCAAAAGAAACGATACAACAAAAGTGCACCCGAAGGTGACCCTACGTAGGTGAGTGCCTGTCAGAATGCCGGGACGTCCTCTGGGGAAAACCACCGAACCCGCTAAGCTACTAGAACCTGGAGGGGCGCAAAACAAAAGCGTGAGTGGGCAAAAACAAATTCTTTGAAAACCAATTCATAAAATACATTCTAACCCCTCGCCGTAAAACCTGTATACTTCCCAGAAAGTAAACACATATGCATAGATATGCCAAGTCATGCTCAAGGGTATGCCAATCATGCTCACAGGTATGCCATCACGAAACCTTATAATATCATCCATGTGCTCAGGTATAACTCACATCAATAGCATAATAAATTGGCAGCCGGAGTCCCCTAAGTGACTTGTACGGCTGAATCTAGAGCTCAAATCTCAACTAAATCACTAAACCTGCCCACGAGTCGGAACCACCTAAAGTGGTCTGTACGACAGGCCTGGGTGTAATACATATGAACGCTCTAGTGCTACGATCACGTGAAGGCTGTGCGAATAGTCGCGGGTCACCTACGAGTCGGAACCACCTAAAGTGGTCTGTACGACAAGACTGTGCACCTAACTTGGATTCAAGCTGAGCGTGTGGTGCGGGAGGTGAACAACACGTGAAGGACTGTGCCCTACACTGGGCGGGAGCACTAACACCGGGGGTGCAAGTTATGAGCTCTCTAAGCATCTCTAACCGCTATTTAATGC